TGGTAAGTAGAATCATTCCATTCAGGCTTTTTGCAGTAAACACTGTCTTTTCAGAGAAAATAACTCCACTAGTCGCTCCTTAGATGGCTGCTATTGGTGCTTCCTGGGGCAGTACTGCCTAGTGTGCAGCACTGCCATCTAGTGTCTCCATCCTCTGCATGCAGACACTGAACTTTCCTCATAGAGATGCATTGATTCAATTTATCTTTATGAGGAGATGCTGAGGGTCTGGCTCTGCCCCCGATCTGCCTAGTTGACAGTCTCAGCCAATCCTATGGGGAAGTATTGTAATTTGCTCAGACCACCACTTCTGATCCAGCAGCTGCAGAATTGAATACAAGTAATATTTTACTATATTTAGGGAGGCAAGAAGGGGCCAGGGTGGTGGTTTTAACATAATAGGGTAAGAAATACATGATTGTGTTCCTGACACTATAGTGCTCCTTTAAGCAAGAGTATGTGAAGAGTAGTTAAGGTTGCCACCTTTCTTGGAAAAAAATACCAGCCTTAATCATTTGTATAATTAATTAGTTATGCGTGACATCACATGATGTAAATCACAAGGAGTGACATCAGAGAAAATTCTGTAAAATCACCAACAAACTACTCACAGTTTGATTCTGCTGTATAGATGGATTGCTCCCAGTGTCTCCCTGTCTCCCAGTGTCTCAGTCTCGCAAGTCACCCAGTGTCTCAGTGTCCCTATGTATCACAGTGTCAGTGTCCCCATGTCGCCCAGTCCCCTAGTCTCCCAGTGTCTGTGTCCCCATTTCTCCCAGTGTCCCAATGTCTCAGTGTGTCCCCATGTCACTAAGATACTGGGGACACTGAGAGACATGGGGACACTGAGAGGCCCTGGGACACAGAGACATGGGGACACTGGGAGACATGGGGACACAGACATTTAGGGAAACTGGGAGAAATGAGACACTAGGGACACAGACACTGGGAGACATGGGGACACTGAAACATTTGGGGACACTAAGACACTAGGGACACAGACATGGGAACACAGACACTGGGAGACTAGGGGACACTGGGAGACTAGGGGACACTGGCTGGGAGACAGACACTTAGGGACACTGGGAGACATGGGGACAGTTGTGGACATAGACATGTGGACACTGGGACATATAGGGACACTGGGAGACATGGGGGCACCAGGCACACTGAGACACTAGGAACACAGACACTGGGAGACATGGAGATAATGAAACATTTGGGGACACTAAGACACTAGGGACACAGAGACTGGGAGACTAGGGGACACTGGGAGACTAGCGGATACTGGGAGACTAGGGGATACTGGGAGACTAGGGGACACTGGCTGGGAGACAGACACTTGGGGAGACATGGGGACAGTTGTGGACATAGACATAGGGACACTGGGACAAATGGGGACACTTGGCACACTGAGAGACATGGGACACAGACACTGGGAGACTTGGGGACACAGACACTAGGGACACTGGCTGGGGGACATAGTGTCTCCGTGTCCCAATGTCTCCCAATGTCCCTATGTCTCACAGCATCCCCATGTGTCTCAGCATCCCCATGTGTCCCAGTGTCCCCTAGTGTCTCAGTGTCCCCATGTTTTCCAGTGTCCCCAAGTGTCTGTGTCCCCAGGTCTCCAAGTGTCTGTGTCCCCATGTGTCCTAATGTCTCAGTGTCCCCTAGTGTCTGTGTCCCCATGTGTGCCCTAGTGTCTGTGTCCCCATATGTCCCCAAGTGTCTCAGTGTCCCCATATTTTCCAGTGTCCCCAAGTGTCTCAGTGTTCCCAGGACTCCCAGTGTCTGTGTCCTAGTGTCTCAATGTCACCTAGTGTCTCAGTGTCCCCATGTGTCCCCTAGTGTCTCAGTTTCCCCATGTGTCCCTGCTGCCTTTCCCCCCATCCCTCACTTACCTGAGCTGAAGAGCTGCTGTCTGGACTCTCTGTGCTGTGTAGCTGCTCCCCCGCGGATCAGTGAGTAGTAGAGAGAGGCAGGGATATTCTGTAACTTCCTATCCCTGCCTCTCTCCACACACAGTGACCCCTACTGGCCGGTGCTGGTATTGCAGGGTAATCTCCATTTATTCTGAGAAAATTACCTGCATTTGTATTGCCGGTATTACTGCAATACCGTCACGGCCAGGCAGCCTCACATACCGGCTGTGCCAGTAAAATAGCAGTCAGGTGGCAAACCTAAGAGTAGTGTGTTAAAAAAAAATTTTTTTTTTTTTTTTTTTTTTTTTAAATGGGCCTATTCCATGGGCCTGGGCCTGGAGCTGCAGCTCCATCAGCCCCTATGTTAATCCGGCCCTGGTTGTGACGAGACCAATCTCGCCACTGTGCATTGGAGGAGCCTGGTTGCCTGCCTGCTGCCTTTTGACTATGGACCGGCATTTAAATACTTTATTTACCTATGCAGAAAGGTCTATTCCTGTAGTTCTGCCCTGGCGTTCAGTAGATTCTCGGATTTACTGAATGAACTCATTTAACCCAGATAGCTATGCCATGGAGCCTATTCGTGTAATAAAAGACTTTGACTCCATGGCGATTGAACTGTATGTGTGTGGTCTGAGCGTCATTCAGTAATAATATGCGCTCAGACCTAAGCTATCTGGGGATATGTTGCATGTCTGTATTTTATGTAATAAATGTAATCTTGTGTATTTTATTGTATTTTACTGTCTTTTTATTGCCATGTGCTTAATGGAGTTTTGACTCTGTCCTTGGAGATAATTGGATTACTTCCCAATTATCTCCAGGATAGAAGACTCTGTGGAACTGGTTTTGGGCAGAAAAGCCATGCTTCATTTGGTCACAAAGGACTTCGATCTATCTTTTGAACCAATGGACCAATCTGGATGATTTTGACATATGTTTGTATTTGGAGAATGCTGATTCTGAAAATGTAAGTTTATGTGAATGTGATGCATACTTTTCAAGTTATGAATAATGTGGAAAAACTGTATTTCTCTGGCTGTGATAATTACATTACCCATTGTGTAAGGTAATTGTATCACAGGCAGAGGGGAGGATTTTGTGTGGGAGTGTCTGAGTGTATTGTACGTGTTTATTGGTTGTTTTCCAAAACCCTGTGGGTGGTACTAATGTGTAAGAATGTGTAGATAAGAACAATAAACCCACAGCTCTGTCTGAAGCTGCTTGACCCTCAAAACGAAGTGTCGTCTCGTTATTGGGGGATTTGGATTGTATGCCGATTGCCAGGAGTGTAAGCTGATTGTATGCTTTTCCTGTTCGGCTGTTTCCCGGGTTCGTGTGTTTCCTGTTCGGGAGTTGGAGGATTCGTGTAGTTTGCAGTTCGGGAGATTGGTACTTACAGTAGCTGCCTGTGCATCGGGAAAAGGGAATATCGCCTGTAACGGACCGTTTTGCACACAAGGGGTAAAAAACGTTTAGGCGATCGGCCCCCTTTCCAGAGGTGCAGGCACAGCTACTGTAGAACACCAAACTCACGAACCGCCAATAAGGGAATGCTCCAAACTCCCGAACGGCATCCAATATAGCACTCCAAACACACAAACTGGAACCATACGAATCACTGCTAGCAGACGAATAGGAAAAGCATCCAAGCGGCTTACACTCCTAGCAATCAGTCTCTATCAGCATTCAGTAAATGCCCCCAAAGACGAGACAAGGCTCCGTGTTGAAGGTCAAGCAGTGGTCAGCCAGAGCTGTGGGTTTATTATCCTTATATACACATTCTTACACATTAGTACCACCCACAGGGTTTTACACAACAACCAATCATAAACGTACATTACAGAAACACTCCCAGCAATTACACACAAAAATCCTCCCCTCTGCCTGTGATATAATTATGTTGCACAATGGTTTAACATAATTTACACAGGCAGTAAAAATACAGTTTTTATCCATACACTGTAACTTTAAAACTACACATCCAATCTTCATATTATTAATCAGCACACTTTAAACATAAACATAACCAAAAATCAGACAAATCCATCCAGGGGTTAAAAAGTTAGCTGGAGGTCCCTTTATGGCCGACCGCAAGCACATTTTCCTGCCCAAAACAGTTCCATAGATTTGGGCTGTGCGGTCAGTCTATTTCAGGCTGAAAAAACGACTAAGTCCCATCGCCGGTTGGGACTTAGTCTCTGCAGCTAAAATCAGGCTGAAAAAACGGCTGAAAAAACGACTAAGTCCCATCGCCGAATGGGACTAAGTCTCTGCGGCTGTAAAATCAGTATGGGAGAAGGTAGAGCTCAGCAGTGTTCGCGGAAATGTGTAGCCGATTTTAGTTCCATGAATTTGGCTACACATACCGTTGACCTCGTTCGCATTAACAAAGATGGCCGCCGCCACGTGTTCGGCAAACGAACAAAGGCCACCCAGCATTGTCAATTAAGCTGCGGTTAACTGCAGCTTCTGGGAGATAAATTGCCTGCACACTTCCACTTCTGGGTGGTCTGCCTGTGTGGTACTTGGTTCAGTAAGCCCCATTTACTGAACCAAGTGGGAAATAGCTAGGCATAAAGAGTTTTAACCAGGTCTGGGGACACAGGGGACATCGTCTTAAAGGGGCAGTGTCCCAAACAAGTCTGGGGACACCGTCTTAAAGGGGCAGTGTCCCAATATTCCTGATGTCCCAAAAAGGTGTTTAAAAGGCCAGCACCAGTCCCATAAAGAGTCCATAAGCCACAATATGCCCACTGACTGTCTTAAAGGGCCATACACACCCCATAAAAGTGCGTACGTTTTCACCATCTCCCAGGGGCCATAGTCATGTGGAAGGAGGCTGGCAAATAGGCTTCTCCAATGCAATGTGGCGAGATTGGTCTCGTCACATTGCCTAAACGGTTTTTAACCTCTTGTGTGCAAAACGGTCCATTACAGGGGTAAATTAAAGGTTTTTTTTACCTCTTTGAGGGGGGGGCCATTAACCTTAATGATCACCAGGGCACTATAACGTTTGAAATACACAGTTGTATTCCTTAGGCTATAGTGTTCCTTTAATAGCTGCTTGAGGTTAATTATAAAATGCTTCAGTCTATGTTTGATCTGTAATCCTCACAGTGCTATTTCTGCAAACTTGTAAAATACAGCAGTAACTGTATTTTACAAGTTTGCAGAAAGATCAAAAGAGGAGGCTCGTTTTTTTTCACGACTGCTGGATAGTATGACAGAGATTCTGGCACGCTGCTTACTCAAGCTGAGTGTCGGCTATTGTCAAGCCTCTCCTTCGTTTAATTGGGTGTTTTAAGTTTCCCTTTTTTTCTTTTGTTAAGTCTAATATAGGCATTGATTCTCATCGTTATACTTAATATAAGGCCAAGT